CGGCTAGGGCACCAACCCCTAGGCCTGCCACACATCGGTCTCACGTACCGACCAACAGGTCAGCACATGACATAAGCAACGCTCCTGCCCACGTCACGGGAAATCAGGCGACCTTCCGCCGTCATCCTTTTGTGGACGGCATCATTGAAACACCTCTCCCTTTCGGGTGGAAGCCTCTCCACATTGACCGTTACGATGGCACCACGGATCCGGACGAGCACATCGATCTGCATACCACACAGGTAAATCTTTACATTAATGAAGATGTTATCCTGTGTAGGGTTTTTCCGACCTCGCTCAAAGGGGTCGCGCTCAACTAGTACACCCAGCTACCTGTCGAGTCAATTGACAGCTTCGGCACCCTGGTCAGACGGTTCACAGCAGAATATGCGACGAGCCGACCTCATCACATAACATCAGCTGCCCTGGCCAGTCTCAGACAGAGTGACGACGAGCCACTCCAAACGTTCATGGAATGATTCGCCGCCATCTCGATAAAGATCCGAAATCTGAATCCCGAGGTCGCACTGCACTCCGTGCTCGTGGTGGCATCACAATACTCACACGACAGGGGCAACACTAGAATCCTTGTCACGCATAAACTCCTTTGCCCATAATCACAAGGGCACCACCTACCAGCAATCCTCGTCTTCATCAGACGTCCTAAAAAAAAAAGAGGGGGAATCACATAATCACCATCAGCAGGCAGCTTGGAGAAGCCGGCACAATAATACTCACCATCAGCAGGCGGCCTGGAGAGGCTGGCACAATAATACTCACCATCAGCAGGCGGCCTGGAGAGGCCAGCATAATAATACTCACAATATCAGCAGACGGCCTGTAGAGGCTACGAAAATACTACGGCCTGTAGAGGCTACGAAAATACTAAGCATGAAGAGGCTATCGCGCCCTACTCCTTAATTGAATGAAGGATGATCCAAGAGAATGCCAAGACCAGGAATGACTTCCTAACCAAAGCCAGGAGTGGTTTCCAAAATAATACTCATCAATAAAGATTCAGCAAATAACATCATCATGAAATAGATCCCTCTACCAATGATGACAATAAAGAGCAACAGCAACAACATGAGAAAAAGGCAAGCTTCGTACATGTTGAAAAAGCCGAAGCATTTAAGAAAATCGCAGGAAAAGGCAAGCTTCAAATATGAAAAAGCCAAAGCTAAACAAAAAATAAAATTCAAAAAAATCTACCACAAGCAAGCGCCTGGAGAGGCATCACAATACTCAAGCGGCAGGGGCAACATTGGAATCTCTGCCAACCATCCACTTCTCTGCCCACCAACACAGGGGCACAACAAACATCTCCTGCCCATCCACCTAGGGGCAGTCTTTCATTCCACAACCATCCACCAACAATCAAACAATCAATCATCAAAAGGACTCAGCATTGCACCTGGAGAGGCATCACAATACTCACACGACAGGGGCAACACTAGAATCCTTGTCACGCATAAACTCCTTTGCCCATAATCACAAGGGCACCACCTACCAGCAATCCTCGTCTTCATCAGACGTCCTAAAAAAAAAAGAGGGGGAATCACATAATCACCATCAGCAGGCAGCTTGGAGAAGCCGGCACAATAATACTCACCATCAGCAGGCGGCCTGGAGAGGCTGGCACAATAATACTCACCATCAGCAGGCGGCCTGGAGAGGCCAGCATAATAATACTCACAATATCAGCAGACGGCCTGTAGAGGCTACGAAAATACTACGGCCTGTAGAGGCTACGAAAATACTACGGCCTGTAGAGGCTACGAAAATACTACGGCCTGTAGAGGCTACGAAAATACTACGGCCTGTAGGGATCTAATATTTAATTTATTATTTCTTATCACGTTAACTTCATCATAGGGTACCGATTTAGGGCGCTGTAAGGGTGCTTAATACCTTCCTTACACGTAACCGACCCCCGAACCCAATTCTGGTTATCAAGGCCATTATTGGACCTTTTAAAAAAATCTTTTCTTTTTCCAATGTTTTGAGTAAAACATTGGTGGCGACTCCATAAAACATATTTTCAAAACCATCAATTAAGGATTAGTCTGGTGTCCGGGCATTCCTCAATTGATGAGATTTTTAAAAGGATGTCTAAATCATAGGTCGCAAGATCGGAAATTTTCGGGTTGCAACAATCAATATAGAAAAAGAGAGAAAAGAAAAATGGACGAGCGCTAAGTCTTTTGAAATGGACGAGCGCTTATCCACAAGTCAAAGCTGCATGTGTCAGAGCAAGTACACCTACCAGTCAGTAAAAGACAACGCCTCTACAACTACAATGATAGGAAAGTACAAAGATGTCTAGGTCATGATTGAACCCAGACATAAAAGTATACAAACACCCAGTGGATCATCCCTACCTCGGATTCCCAGTAAGAACATATTTAAATGAATTAATGAATTATTTTTATCTAATCCATTATAATTCATCTAAAAATTATCTAATTCATCCATTTGTCACCCCTAGTTTCTTCAAATTATCATTAGCTTGTGAGATAAGTGATTTTACAATGTTCTAAAGAATTTAACAAAAACTTACAAAATTGGACACATATTCACCGTGTGATTAAAATAAGATACTTAGATAAGAGACCTTTCCGGGCCATACATTTGACATGTGGAAGGCCAACAAAAATTGATTAATATATGAATGAAAGAGAGTTATATTGGAAGCTTGAATAAAAGGAGAAAAACAACACACAAAAAATCACATAAAAAACTATTAGAAATCAAGACCTAAGAAACCAAGCAAATGAGACACCTAAAATACTCCATCTTGGTTTCACCCTAAAGTAGAAACAAGCAGAAAACATACAAGATTTCAAGAAGAAAGGAAGAAAGGAAGGAGATAGGAGGAAGAAGAAGTAGAAAATGAAGAAATAAAGGAAATTAGGATAAAACTAACAAGACCAGAGAAATGGGCATGAATTGTGACATTTAATTTCATTGATTGAATTTAGTTTAGATGTGTGTTTAGAGTATGTGTTAGCCTTCAATTTCAAGTTCTAGCCCATAATCTTAAGAAGACTCAGTTTTTTGGTTGGATTTATTGATTTTTAAAGCTTGAAATTTGTAGTAGTTGATGTTTAAGATTGAATTTGGTGGTTGAAATTGATTGTTGTGTTTGAAAATTTTGAAATGATGTTGGTTATGAAGGAACATATGGTTGGGTCAAGAGGTAAAAGACAGGGAAAAAATGAGAATTTTATAAAAAGTTAAGGGTAAAATAGTCATTTCACATCCTAGGGACATAAAAGAAATTTTGGGAAAAATATGGGTAAAATAGGAATTTTAACTAATATTTAAGGGAATAATTGAAATATTAGTAAATATTTGAAGACATAATTGGAATATAACAAAAATGTTTGAGGGCAAGATTTGAATATTAAAAAATATTGAAGGAAATAATTGAAATATTAAAAAATAACCAAAGGTATAATTGAAATTTTAGAAAAAAGTTTAAGGGAAAATAAAAATTATAAATAAATAGAAGGACATAATTGTAATCTTATTTATTAGAATTAATTTAGGTAATTAGTTAAAAATAAAACTTATTTCAATAACTTAAAGTTTGTTGAAGATAACTTTTAGTAGTGATAGATTATTAATGATGCCTATTACATAACATTGCATAACATGATTTATGAGTCAAAAGAATTTGGTGGAAAGAAAATAATTTGCAAAAATATTTTGAAATTGATTTTTACAAATTACTATCAAGGAAGGTTGATAGTATCAAATTAAATAAGATTTTGAAATATTAAGTTGAGAAATTTTTCTGACGGTCAAGGATGGTTGGTAGTAAATGAGGTTTGAGCAGAATGAGTAAGAAAGAATCATATGGTGTAAGGCGTGTCAGGCACGAGTATTTTCACATATGGTCAATTTTTATTCACTTTGTATCACAATAGTTTGTTGAGTACACTAACACTCTAACTATTGTCTACTTGTTTGCATTTAGTAGGACATTTATGAATCATTGGATATAGTAATGTTAACCTATGGTTTTACTAAACACTTAAAAAGGAAAATCTCCATGGAGTTACAAGCCAAAATTATTTTTTAAAAGTATTTTTAAGTCAAAAACAATAAGCATAGACATATAACATGATATGAATTGTATTTCTGTAAGAATTATTTTATTGTTGTGTGATTATTTGGTATATATTTGTTTTATATGAATTGAAATCAAATGTCTAATCTTGTAAAATTTTGGAAACCCTAAACCCTAGGAATTTTATTATGAATGTAGATGAAAAGAAAAATTAGAAAAATCGTCTAATGCAATCTAGAACTTTCAAAATTTGGGACGTTTTGTAATGTATATTAAAATAATTATAATATTAAGAAGAAGATTTGTAATATATTATAGGTTTGAACAACCTTTTATGATATAACACTTTAATTATAGGTATAAAATATATATGACATGAGTATTTTGTTAAAAAATTAATAAAAATCAGATTATGTAATTTAATTAGTGACCACCAATTTGACTCGTGACCTAATACTTTAATCGATTTGATGATTGCTCTGATTTTTAAAATATTGGTTAAAATAATGTTTCGCTAGTGAAAATTATATATGATTATCAATTTTTGAACATTGCATGGACCATGTTCATAGACCAAAAAAGAACACATTAAAATTAGACTAGTAATAAAAGATTTTAATAATAAGTATAAGATCATAAACTCTATATTTGGAAGACCATTATACAAAAAAAATTACCTTAATAGGAGTTAAAAATTATTATTACTAAATTGGTATTTACAAACAAGTAGACTTTTTAAAAATGTATTCCACGATTCAATACTTAATATATTATTACCCTAATGGTGTGTTTGGATGAAGAATTTATATAGAGTAATTCATTTATTTGAAGAATTTCAAATTCCTTGAGGTGAAATGCTTTATTTGGATAAGGAATTTACAAAGAATTTGAAATCCAAGCATTTGTGAAATTCCTTAAAATAGTAAAATTTCAAATTCTCCCAAAAATGGGAGAATTTAAAATTCCTCATATTTTTTTTTCTTATTTCACCTATATATTTTATCTTATCTCTTCATTCTTTTAATTATTAGATATTCAAAAATATTTTTAAAATTATTAAATATTAAAATGGATTAATATTTATTTTTATAAAATTTGATTTAAAAATCTCAACATATAAATATATTTTTAAAATCAATTTTACTATGATGGAATCAAATTATCATATTCAACCTAACAATTTAAAATTTAAGAAATTTAAATTGACTCATTCAAACAAAATATTTTAAGAATGATAGAAATTGAAATCAAAGTAATTCAAATACCAAGAATTTAAAATTCCTTAAATTTGTAAAATTTTTCATCCAAACACACTATAAGATAATTGTCCTTTATTGAGCCACAGACTTTTATAAACATTCGACACTTCAATTTTGATGTTAACAAAATATGATATTGATTGACTAATGTTTTGATCAAGACATTACAAGAATCGTGCATCTAAGAAGAAAGTTATGAAGATAAAATTGTTTTTAACTTAATAAAATGTTTCTATAAACACGTAAAAATAACAAGTATAACTTAATTTTTATGCATCTAGTTTGAGCCTACATCCAATGTCCAATTCTCTAGATCAACATCTATGTTTGTTAGCTTATATAAGTTTTATTTGCTTCAACATTCTCGCCCTTTAAATGAACACTAGACAAATTCAAAAATAACGTTGTTAAGTGATCTAATAGTCTAAGCTAATTATAAATAAAAAATATATTATATTTCATTTTGTGTATGTGTTCAGAAATGTAAGGAGAAATTACACCCAACACAACATTCAAAAATAGAATAATCCTCAAAGGGATTGTTCAACCTTGGTAGAAGTGTGTCCAACCTAACTCCACAAAGCTTTATGCTTTATCCATGTGAAAAACCTTATAAAGCTCTAAAGAACATTTATGAATTAAGGCACAAATCAACCTTGCATTGAAGACAAAGTTAGAACAATTTTGAAGGGCCCTAAAACTATTCCAAGAAGCCTATAAATACTAGTCTTGAAAAGAAGAACAAGAAGCTATGATCTTGATGTGCCAAAACTCTATCAACATTCTTGTTCTAAGTCTTGTATGTCTTGTAAACATACAAAAACAAAAGCTCAAGTTAGCTCACCTTTATATGTACAATTACCTTCTTGAGTATACCAGAACTTACATATTCTCTCTGTAAGAGTTATTTTATAAACACTTATCTTATAAACCTAAAGAGCCTTAAGAGGCTAGTAAAGAATATTATAAACAATCATTTGCATATATGTAAACTTGAAGTGACATAGAAAATACTTATAAGTTCCAAATGTTAGTAAATCCTTGCGAGATCGAAGGTAAACCACACATAAGTGTTCTTTTCCCTCTATAACTAATATATGTCCATCTATGAGAAGGCTTGTAAAAAATCTTCACACACATTCAACTACCACTCCTTTGTGTTTATTTCACTCTCATCCTTGATATGTAACTTTTTTTAACAATAACATGATTATAAGTTAATTTGCGAATTATTATTTGAGATAAAAACAAAATTGATTGCCATGGTGCGTAATATTATTTGAAATTTCTCTCCCCTATAAAACTATTTCCAAAATCACGTTGACAATTATTTTTCTTACTCTAAAACATTAAAATTATTTTATAAAATAGCTTTGAAAAGCTAAACTTAAAACGCAATCATTCATCTCCGTCCATCTAGAATTAATGGTATTCTCTTTTGGAAATGACATTAAATCAGCATTCCCAACATTTTGCCACATACAATGTAATGAGTTGCGTTATTCATACAACTAATACACCAGTTTATACAACACTACTCTAATGCAACACTACTTTACTCTAATGCAATAGGGGCAACTTAGAATCTTATCTCTAACCCCATTCAGAAGTTGAAAAGTACAATATGCTCACATCAGCATCTTTTATTCGGTCTAAAGAATTGGGACTCTAGGCATGCAGGTGGTGACAAACTGACAACTACATGTACACCGTTACAAGTCAGTATCATGTATAGAAACCAACATCATCACACTTGAATAAGCTAATGATTCAATTTTTACACTTTCAATTGGCTTCGATCTGTTACATGTATTTATTCTGGAACCTTGGTTACCCTGTGCCTGTTAATTGAATGACAATTGTCAATCTCACAATTGATAATATAATTAAGTGTGCAAATAACAAACCAGAATGAACACAGTACATAGAGACACTCTGGCAATGCCTTTGACAGCCAAGTATACAACGTACTCAGCAAATGCAAGTATCACAATCATACCCAAAGAGCCAGAAGTTTGTAGTCACTAACCTTGCTTTCTCCAACTTTCCAATCGCATCTTCCATTGCATATATTGTCATTTTCTTCACCTGTTTCAAAATCGGCAACAAGGGGAAAAGTTAAACAACAAACTGTTCACATGACAATATAATGCATATTGCCGAGATCAGTTCCCACTGCATTTTAATAAGAAACTCCACCCAGAACCACGTTTGTTATTTTATTTCTGAGACCAAAATATCTAATAAGAAGCTACACCCACAACAAGCCGAGGAAAATAACTCACAATTTAGACAGTTCTAACCATGCCTTATTGGAGATCCTACATTGACTAATGATATGGCCAAAATACTATATATAAATAAGAGACAATTCTCCTACTATAAGTCAGTTTTGTGAGATTGAATTAGACTCAAATTTATATTTTAAAATAGTATTAGAGTTTATCCTAATGATTTTTATTGGCCTATCAGGCTATCCTATATTGAACCATTATTAGACCCCTTACAAATATTCATTCTTTGTGTGAGGGGTGAGTGGAGGGCAACCTGCTCTTCACAAATCAGTTTTATGGGATTAGGTTAAACTCAAATCAATGTTCTAAGATGCCTTAAGGTTAAGTGTAAATACCCATCTTTGTTCCCCAAAATAGTCCTCTAAGACAATTTGATGTCAAAAGTACATTGAATTGAAAGATCAATTTGATGTCAAAAATTTATGGCACCAAACAGAAAATAAATACATTTTTTTAAGGATCAAAATGTGTTCTATAATACTAGTTATTAGAGAAGCAAAAAGCATAATGTTGTGGCTAGAAGTAGTGCGAAGGCTGAATATAAGTCAATGACACAAGGAATTAGTGAAATTTTATGGCCTAAAAGAATTCTAGAAGAGTTGTAAGAATGTAGAAATAGTACTGTGATAACAAGCTGCAAGCGACTACAGCACTTGAGTGAAGGGTGTCAAATCTGGGCAGAATTAGGGATGTAAATAAACTCATCCACAGATATACACAATTAAAATCCACTATGGATTTTAAATGAATAATTAAATGAATGTCCGCTTAATAATGGGATGGACACAAATAATTAGGTATTCGTACCTGTGAGTACCCGAACTTTAAAAATATTAAAAATACTCTAAATTATAAAGTAGTTAGTTTAATTTATTTTTACATGTCATAATTAGGTATTTCCTCCTTCAGAACACCAAAACAAAATAATAAAAATTGACAACTTATTCCCTCTTATAGCTACCTACGTACCTACGTACCTACATACATATATATATACATATATGATAAGCTCCTTGCTCATCAAAGACTAACAACAAAATAAGAAATGTTACATCTCAAAACAATGGAGAAGCAAATAAGTGCCAGAACGAAATCAAGAATAGTAGTTTGGCATACCTCCAATTTGTCCTCAATAGACCTATGATTTATTGGAAGTGTGCGGAATTCCTCTGTCAAACGAAAGCACTCCCCAACATTTTCAGGAGACACAAAATCCATCGCAACCTTGATACATGACTACAAAAGGAAAACATATATCATGGATGTTAACATGGAGAACATTTTAAGGATTACTCTAAATAAATTAAATCAATCCACAAAATGTATGCTGGTGATTAGGGGCTTTAGTAGTATATAAGAAATCATAGATTCAAGCCATCATGTTGTCATTGTCTCACAAAATAAAAATAAGAATTACAAATTTACAATAATAAAAAAAAGAAAAAAAAGTAATCAGATAGAACTCATGAGTCGAGACAAAAACAGCAAGGAAAAAAAGTAAATCCTTATTGACTAGCTCCCTTTTGTCTTGCTCAAAGTGCTTTTGTTTCAAACTCTCAATTGCAGCAAGTTTATTAGAATCCAATTCCACTTCAGCAATATGAGTCAACACATTTACCTAAAACAGTCAAATTTTAAGAATATATATATATATATAGACATACACACACACACACTTCAATTCCTTCATTGATGAACATCCACTCAGGACCACATACAGCAATAAATACAAAACACTAACAAATATATGATCAGGAAAAGCTATGCAACTTATGAATTGAAGACAATGCACAGAACAGAAAAACTGACATGGAATTGAAGCCACAATCTACTCGTAAGAATCAGAGCAGAGAAATGCAATGGGTTACCAAAGACAAAATTTATACATCCTATGAACTATGCACATTCCAATGTGAATCTCTTTTTAAAAATAACAGCCTAAAAAGTCCAAATAATTCAGAAGAAATCCTTGAAAATAACAGGCCAGGAAAGAAATAAGCAAATAGAGCATACTGCATCCGACATATCACAGTGGAGCTTAGTCACTGAATCACCACGCCCAAGCTCCTGAGGATATCCATAAGCAATATATGTCTTAGGCCCCATGTCTGGCTTTAGACAATCATTTGGCAACTTCACAGCAAGGTTAAGAGCACCTCTGAGAGGATCAGTATATTCCTTGAAGGGCAAGGAACATAAGAACTCAGCACAATGACGAGGCAATTGTTCCTCAAATAAATTAGAAGGAGGCCAATCTTTTAATTTCAATATCTGGGGCCAACCAAGCCAATCCATGCGACCTGCTGTATAGCCAGTAAAGAATTGGTGGATATTAATTTCCCCCTGCGATTAACCAACAACTCATATAAAAATGAAGAAATCAGCAGCAACAGAATAAGCAAGTCAAGCAAAAGCAGTAAAGAATTACTGAATCAGTTAAAAAAAAAAAAAAAGCAGATATGATTTACTCTAGTCTGATTACAAAACCAAAAAACAGAATGAGTATGAGTTGAAAATAATATTTTCAACAGTAGAAAGAAAAACTAAATAATACAATTTACCCAACATCAGCTAGATGCTGCAAGTCTAAGAAGCAGATAAACATACCAAAAGGAAAACAGAATGCAAAGGATGCAAGGGCAACAAGAAGTGCAGGCAAAGAGTGAACAGCAAAATGGGGGACCGGATAACAGACAGCCAAAAATTGAGATAAGTTTTGAAGATGATATGATAAATAGCAAAAACATAGGACTATGTATATAAATTTTATGATGATGACATCAGGATAAATTGATCACACAATACCCCATGTTTCTTGACAACGTTGGGAGAGACAGCATAAAGCAAGCAACAAGGGCTTAAAGTTAATCGCTAATATATGAACTACACTCAGAAAAATGACTTTTAATTACCACCCTAATATGAGTTTCCTGTTTACCAACATTCCACATCAGACTGGTATCCCTTTATGCCCCAGACAGCGGAACATCTACAAACTGTTTCTCGAGACAACATAGACTGAAAGACACTTTAGAAAAAAACAAAGTCTGTCCATTCACACTGTTGACCAGATCAAAAGAAAAGTCAAAGCATTAAACTCAGATGCTAAGATGGAGGTCAAGATTGAGATGCACAGGACTAATAGATGCAGACGAAGAACTGCCACGCAAGCAATTAAAGAATCAGGTCTCAAAAGATAAACCAAGGCATCGTCTATGATCACTCAAATTCTCTCAACGTAAACGCGTGATCAAAGGGAAGAGATGAAGAAGAAGAAAAAAACGTAAAAGCAAAAGCATGCATGTGTCAGAAAAAGTACATCACTTTTTCAAATAAGGACAACACTCTACAGCTGCGTGACCAGAAAAGGAAAAAAAGGTTCCTAGGTCTCTGCTAAATTCAGACACAACTTCTAACAAGGCAAAGAAGACATACATAATGTACATTACAGGAAGCAAAACATAATGCAAGAACTCAAGCATTAAATGTGAGATCAAACTAGTTATGAACGACTATATTTGCTTCAACGGACACTTGCAATGGGAAAATTCTATAAGACAATATATATATTACTATCTCAAACCTTGGATGGTTGGCTTTTGGATTTTTAGCTGGCCTTTGGCTTTGTATTCTTAACCGAGTGATATCAATCCCACAAAACAACGAAACTAGAGATAGAGCATATACAGTCAAATATACCATAGTGTATTCATCTCTGTAGACTAAGGAGTTCCAAGTGCATTCTAGGAACATGAACCTTAGTTAGTGTATTTATTTATGTATCCTCTCTGTGAGAGTAAATCAAACACTCAATTATTGTAAAAACTAAGGTTGCATACCTTAATGAGTGTATATTCTTATGTATCCTTTCCATGAGAGTAGCCTAAACACTCAAACTAAACCTGTTTAGTCATCATATGTAAAGCTTGAAGAGGCTAGGGAAAGCACGAGT